ATATCAACAGTTGGTCTCTCGGTTCAGTAAGAATGCACTGGCATTATTAACTTCTCTACCCACGAACAAGATGCCTGCTGGGAAATTCCATCCCTGTAAAAGAAACAGTTGGCAATGGGTATTCAAGGAAAAAGTGAACTCTGGAATTAAAAGCTAACAGTATCCAGAATTTCTGTTTATCAAATTAGTACATTAAAAATGGGGATGGTAAAAAATGCTAAGACACCTCTAATTCACATAACTCAAAATCAATTCTAGAAAGGGGCTGTAAAGAAGAATACAGAAGAAAAAGATTTGGAACACTTAATTGCTTACATCTGCATTGTCACTACTGGGCCGAGAAGCATCTCCACTGCTACAGTCAGTCCTGCCCAGTCCATCTCCAGGATCTGTTTCTGCCTCACTGACTGTTAGGGTGTCACCTAAAGGTCTGGAGGGTGTAACTACAGCTCCATCCTAAAAGAGATTAAAGAAAAGCACACCCACACAAACACATAAAAGAAACCTTTCATTACTTGCTGCACAAAGAAACAGAGTGGTACTACAATCTACATGGAGACTGGTAAAAGTTGGACATTGTAATGTGCTCAAGAATGTTTGAAATTCTATGAGTAAAATTGGTAAGTAACTACTAATTCTAGGATTCTAAAATGGCATGACTTTAAAGACAGTCCAAGTGATGTTTTAGTAAAAAGTATATAAGTTTAAACTTCTAAATATAGCAAAAAGGTAAAATGGTTTGTTAATTTATATAATTCATATTGTCTGCCCATTAATAAAGGTTATAACCCTGCAGCTTCTTGTTAACTACCTTCCAATGCTTCAGAGTTTCAATCAATGGCCAATTCTGGGACATAATGCTATAACATAAATTATTATAAGCATTTAGATCAGATTATAAGCATTTATTTATTTATTTAATTTGAGACAGAGTCTCATTCTGTTGTCCAGACTGGAGTACAGTGGCAGGATCTTGGCTTATTGCAACCTCTGCCTCCATGGTTCAAGTGATTCTCTTGCCTCACACACCTGAGTGGCTGGGATTACAAGCACGCACCACCATGCTCAGCTAATTTTTTATTTTCAGTAGACATGGAGTTTCACCATGTTGGCCAGTCTGGTCTTGAACTCCTGACCTCAAGTAATCTGCCTGCTCAGCCTCCCAAAATGCTGGGATTATAGGCGTGAACCACCACACCCAGTCAGGTTTTAAGCATTTAGATTGCTGTTCGAACAGGGTAAGAATATTGTCTTTGCCCAGTAATAACATAAAACTGTCAATATTACTGAGGTATAACACCTCAAAATGTCACATAGCTAGTAGGATTGAAAGTAATGAAAAAAAAAAAACTGGAATTAAAAGTACATACTGCATGGTCTTGTAGAGGTCATTTAACCAGTTTAGACCCTAGGTTTCTCTACCATAATTTTTTTTAATCAGAAAGTAAGATTAAGCTAGATGATCGATCGATCTCAAAAAATTCTTTTGCGAATATGTAGCTTTCCCTTCAGACTTAACTCAGGAATAGTGATAAACAGTTTTTACCTATTTTAAATGTATAAGCAATTTATCCACTATGCTTTAAGATGAAGTATAAGGTACTTTACATATCCCAAATCTAAATATTACAGAATGTAAATCTGGTTAACATATAAATGCTGAGTTATTATTTTTCTTAAGAGACCATTAGCGCTATAGCTTATACCTACACAATAAATTCTACTGAAATCTATTTTTAAATTACAATAAAAATATACTCATTAAAAGTATGAATGTGCTTTTAAATCCTCAGACTGGGTTTGAATTCCAGTTCTATTACTTTTGAGCAATATTATATCAGACAAGTCATTTAATCTCTCTAAGTATACACACAAACTGGAGAAAAACAAACATAAGTAACCTCAGAGTCGTTAGGCAGATTAAATAAGAAAACATTCGTCCATATATTTAGCTCAATGCCTGCCGTTTTAAAATCTTATATTCCTACTTAAAAACATACCAACTGCCATTCTATTTTAAGATGGCAGAATGAACCACAAAAAATATAAATATATACATCTAAATACATTTTAGTAGTTTGTCACATTAAAGGAAAAGCACTCAATTCTTTTTTACATCATTATGGAACAAAGAAATGTGATATCATGACCAAGCAAACAATCAGACGCCCACATTTATTTTTGTTAATCATTACTTCTGTAACATTCTTAACAGGACATCCTGTTGTCCTATGCTAGAAAAATAACTTTAAAAAAGGCAACTGCAACATTCTCTGACACATTCCCAAAAGAAAATTATCCTGCAAAAAGTTGGGTAGCATTTGTAATAGTGATGCTACCTGAGCAGAGCCTGTGGCTTTGGATAACTGCTCTTGCAGCTGAGGAATGTGTTTCTTGGCCTCTTGGATCTCTTTTAGCAATCTTTGGGCAGGTGTTCGGTTGTAATCTTCCTGCAATAACTGAAAAGTTATAAAAATATTTTCAGAATTAATTACTTATGTAAAAAAGATACAGAAATCGTCCATTCTTAATCAATAAAATAGCTAATGACATTGGTTACAATACTGCTTGATTGTAAGTATGATAAACACCGACTCAACAATGCCCACTCACGTTTTTATTGAGAGCCCTACTTCTCATGTAATACCTGTAGCCGTTCCTGTTCTTTCTGTAACATTTTTCTCAGAATTTCTACTTTCTGGTTATGAACCACATTGTTTTCCTCCTAGAAAAGAAAAAGATAAAAAACAAACAACAACCAGTATAGAGAAAATGAAGCTAAAATAAATAAAGGAAATGTAACATGCAAAGTTCTGCCTCAGCACCAATTATCAATACCTATTAGGTTTTTTTCTATTTCTAGATTATAAGGACAAGCTTTTAGACATCACACTTAAAAGATAAGAAACTACAAGGAAATGTCTTTCCTTCTATTTCACTTTTACTAAACTGGGTTCAAGAGAACATTAAATATTGATATTGGAGAAATGAGGTTTTCTTAGTATAAGAATAGTTTCTTTCACTTTCCCTCATTTGGATCTTTACTATCAATCCCCATGCATAGCTCAAACGCTCAGTACCTCTTACCTGAAATATGAAGACAGCTCCCTAATTCCTCACCCATCATCCCTCCTTGTTTCACAACCCTATTTTACCAAATTAGTCTTCCGATAATCCTAGGATAATCATGTACTCTTTTCCTTTAAAAGAAAAACGTTGAATACTGCTTATCTAGTTACATGTAAATTAGCCTGGTAAATGTCATTTTTCAAAATATACAGTCAACCTACTATTTTCAAGTTCATCTCCCACTACACTCATCCTTAACAGGCACGAAACAAACAAAAATCCTGGCTAATTCTCCACAATATTTGATGCTTTTTAGCTCCTTCTATTTATTTTTCTTCTTCGATGTGCTTTCTCCCTCCTTTGATTCTTCAAAGAACTTAGTATTTTTTGCCCTCATAATGTCTACATTCTGCCTTTGTATTATAGTTACTTGTATACTCTTGATTTAATCTCAGTCAACAAAGCTTTGTTAAGTACAGTCTACATGCTAAGCAATATTTCAGGTACTGGAAACACAACAGTAAACAAAAGAAACAAAAATTCTGTCCTCTTAAAAGTACACATTCTAAGATGACTAAGAACTCCGAACATAGAATATCTTAATTATATTTTTGTGGGTGGCACATTGTTTTACATATGGCAGGTGTTTAATACTTGTTAAATCTGCTATGACAAGATTCTAACTATTCCTAATCATTATGTAATTTTTATATTAGAAAGCTGTTTTCCAGAATCTTAAATTTAATTTGCTAATCAGTCCAGTATTTAAAATTCTTAATATAAACACATCCTTATAAGACTGAGCATTTACTAAGAAATTTTCCCCTTCTTACCCCCATGAGTACAGGACTAGTGATTCTCTCCATATTCCCAGATGCTCCAGGTGAATGAGGAGATGTCATGATGGGAGACATATGTCCAATGACTGATGGCTCTACTTCAGAATCGGCAAGTGGAATCTGGGGCGACCCAGGTGGGCGTCCCTGAACAGTGAGAGCTACATAGGAACCAGCTTGGGGTGGGGAGATGGAAAAAGGAAAGGGAAGGGAAAATAACATTGTCAAGAAACTTTTTAAAGCATTTTAATACTTAATCTTGATAGTTCTAAAAGATCCAGTTATATAAGACTGTCCCATCATCTGCTAACCACGTCTCCACAGAAAAAAAATCTAATGTCATTTCTGTTTTATGACTGCTCTAAAAATCCAAAAGAACAATGCCATTTTCAGATAGCAAATTACGACTTGTAAGATCAGATATTACTTAAAAGCAAATAAAATGTATAACTCAATAACATATTTTCTTAATTTAGAGGAGAGTTAAAATCAACCATCTATTAGTGGCTATGTTTCGTTAATTTCTTAAATGTAAATTTTTTAAATCTTCCAGGCTGGAGTACAGTGGCACAATGTCAGCTCACTGCAGCCTCAACTTCCTGGGTTCAAGCAATCCTCCCACCTCAGCCCCCAGAAGTAGCTGGTACTACAGGCATGTGCCACCATGCTCAGCGAATTTTTGTATTTTGTTGGCCAGGCTGGTCTTAAACTCCTGAGCTCAAATGATCCGCCCACCTTGGCCTCCCAAGGTGCTAGGATTATCGGTGTGAGACACAGTACCCCAGCCTAAATCTTCATATTTTAAGATAATACTATGTATGCAGGGTTTAGTGCATATGCTAGAATATAAAATGCAAATTTAAGTTAACTTTACAAAATGAGTATCACCAAAAAATATTCCACAAGAACAGGGAAAAACACAATCAATAAGGTAGTAAATTTTAGTAGAAAATATCTGGAGAAATTGAAAGGAATTCATTAGAGATATTACAGGAGGGAATATCCAGATAGCAAAAATCTCCATAATCAGACTCAGTAATAGACATGGCAAAACCTTTTTATTAGACATTTCAATAGAACTTTTTTTTTTTTTCCGAGCTAGCTGAGATTTTATTTTGGACCAAAAAAAAAAAAAAAAAGCATTTGAATTGTTTTGCAGATGGAGGCATGGGCAAGGGGGGGTCCCCAGGCAGTAAACTCCCCACTGGTGGGCTGAGGGCTAGGGCTGAGCGTCAGGTAGGTCTCCTGTTCCCTGCACTCCCCTGCACAGCAGCTTCCCTCCTGGGCTCTGGGGCAGCCTCAGGAGGGGCAGGCTGGGAGGGGCTGTTGCAGCTGTTCACTTGGGCAGGACGTCAGAGGACTCGGACACCAGCCTCCCATCGCGGGTCTCAATCTTCTTCACAACCACAGCCTTGGTGGAGCTGGTGTGGCTGAAGGAGCTGGAGCCCGTGACAGAGCCAAAGCCGGAGCCCAGGCCGTAGCTGAGGCCGGGGCTTGTGAGGCACCCATAGGCAGAGCTCAGACTACCTGTATAGCCGCTGGTGGTCTTCGTGTGGATACTCATGTTCTGTATCCCAGACTCCAGCCGGCTCTCCTCGCCCTCCAGTAGCTTGTGGTAGGTAGCGGTCCCGATGTCCAGAGCCAGTTTGACATTCATCAGCTCCTGCTACTCACGCAGCTGCTTTGCCATGTCCTGCTTGGCCCACTGCAGGGCGGTCTCCAGCTCCTGCTGCTTGGCATGAGCATCCTTGAGTGCCTGCTCCCCGCGATGCTCAGCATCTGCAATGGCGGCCTCCAGGGAAGCCCTCTGGCCTTTGAGGCCCTCGATCTCAGCCTGAAGCCGGCTGATGTTCCAGTACATCTCGGAGATCTCAGTCTTCATATGCCGCAGGTCATGCCCGTGCTTCCCAGCCAGCGTCTGCAGCTCCTCATACTTGATCTGGTATACGCTCTCCGCCTCAGCCTGGCTGCAGTTGGCAATCTCCTCGTACTGCGCCTTGACCTCAGCAATGCTGCCGTCCATGTCCAGGGAGCACTGTTGTCCATGGACAGCACCACAGATGTGTCAGATATCTGGGACTGCAGCTCCTGGATCTCCTCTTCATACAGCTGCCTGAGGAAGTTGATCTCGTCAGTCAGTCCTTCCAGGCAAGACTCCAGCTCTACCTTGTTCATGTAAGCTTCATCTACATCCTTCTTGATGAGGACAAATTCATTCTCCATCTCTGTCCGCTTATTGATCTCTTCCTCATACTTGTTCTTGAAGTCCTCCACCAGCCCCTGCATGTTGCCAAGCTCCGCCTCCAGCTTCAGCTTCTCCTGGCCCAGAGTCTCCAGCTGCCGCCTCAGGTTGTTGATATAGTTCTCAAACATGATGTCCCTGTTGCTCCGAGCCGTTTTCTGCTGCTGCAGGAGGCTCCACTTGGTCTCCAGCATCTTGTTCTGCTGCTCCAGGAACTGCACCTTGTCGATGAAGGAAGCAAACTTGTTGTTGAGGGTCTTGATCTGCTCCTTCTCCTGGATACGCACGGCCTGGATGTTGGGGTCCACATCCACCTTAACGGGGTTCAGCAGGCTCTGGTTGATGTTGACAGCAGTGATGCCTCCCATGCCTATGCCACTGGCCCCAGCATAGCCTGCACCCAGGCCACCCCGGAAGCCACTGCTGCTCACTCGGGAGAAGCTCGAGGAGCTCAAGCAGGCACTGGGCCCACTCGTGAAGGAGCGGCTGCTGAAGGCCCCGGGGCCAGAGGTGAACACCTTGTAGGACTTCTGGGTCACCCTGATGGACATGGTGGAGGCAGGAGTGGAGGCAGGCGGGCTGAACCAGGGAGAGATTCCAGAAGGAGCGGAGAAATTGCTTCTTCTCAATAGAACTTCTAAATGTATTTCACACTTGTCTTCCAATTTAAACCTCCCATGGAAATCGATATCAATTATTTCACAGTGTTTTGGCATTCTAAAAACAATTTTTGCTATGTGTAGTAGTCACAAGGGTTATGATTTGGAGGAATTCTATATGTAAACACTTTCTAAGGCTTTTCAATCTTATTGCTGTCTATCAGAAAGTCATCTATTATATCTTACTTGCCTATGTACTTGCTTACAATAGCTTCCTACCTTTTCCCTTCCTTTCTTTAGCTGTTTCTAAACACTGTTCTGATTTGATAACACTTTTATTATATCCAGAATATGCATACTCTATTACATACACTCAGGCTTTAGAGAGTGTATATCCATTTTGGATATGCAGAGGTTTTTATGCTTAACTTTAAGTGTTTAGCTGTGCCCTTACTATTGGATAAGTAATCTACTGCTAGAATCCTAGGATTTAATTTTTTAAGTAAAATTTAGACAGAATGAGCAAAAAATACAACCTAGAAAACTAAAGAAATGGTTTTATACTCCTCAATAAATATCAGGCATAAACTTATTAACATAAACCATATTTATGCAGCACATAATTTATAAATTACATTCTCATTAAATAAGTAGTCAAATTTATTCAAGTATGGGGATCTAATTTTGATCACTGTACTTCTTTTAAAAAACACTAAAGTTAAGAACTCTGATCAAAGTGACCATTTGGAGCACTGGTACTGTGATGAAAAGGTTAAAAAAACTTCATAGTTGCTTAACATAGCAGCAAAAAGGCCAAAAAAAAAGTTAGTTTATTAAATTTCTTCTGAAGAAGTCTACCCACCCAACACAGAGAAATTGAATTAAATAAAACAGTAATGATTCTGCTTTACCACAAACAACTATCTCTTATTTCTAGTCAACTTTACTGTGGAATAATCTGATGCAGAAGATAATAAGTTCTTTTTTTTAATTCCTTTTTTTTAATTGCAATCAGTTTAAGCAGTCTCTCCCCTTTTTTTTCCTTTAAGAGAAACAATAACAAATACATAAGGCCCAAACCAGGCAACAACAAAGAAAAAGGAAGTTATGTTTTAGGTGGTAGACTCTCATGTGACTTTCTTTACTTCTGCTATCATTGTCATATTATTTTCCATTCAATACGTGAAGCAATTAGAAAATATGAAATCTTGGCCAGGTGGAGTGGGTCATGCCTGTAATCTCAGCACTTTGGGAGACTGAGGCAGATGAGCCCAGGAGTTCAGCCCGGAGAATATAACAAGACCATGTCTCTACCAAAAAAAAAAAAAAAAAAAAAAAGGCCGGGCGTACTGACTCATGCTTGTAATCCCAGCACTTTGGGAGGCCAAGGCGGGTAGATCACGAGGTCAAGAGATTCAGACCATCCTGGCTAACACGGTGAAATTCTGTCTCTACTAAAAATACAAAAAATTAGCAGGGAGTGGTGGCACATGCCTGTAACCCCAACTACTTGGGAGGCTAAAGCAGGAGAATCGCTTGAACCTAGGAGGCAGGGGTTGCAGTAAGCAGAGATCACGCCACTGCACTCCAGCCTGGGTGAGAGTGAGACTCTGTCTGAAAAAAAGTAATAATTAAAATAAATAAACAAACAAGGTGGGAGGATCACTTGAACCCAGGAGTTAGAGGCTGCAGTGAGCTGTAATTGTACCACTGCACTCTACAAGACCCTGACCCTAAAAAAAAGAAAACATAAAACCTCTCTTGGAAAGCAGGTAAGGTTAAAAGGTAACAATGAAATGAAACAAAAGCCCAGGTAGGGGAAGGTATAGCAGCACCTAGACTTCACCTGACCCAGATTCAGACGACCCACCCCATCACCACGACAGGGCCGTGGAAACTTCCCTTCTCCCTGTGCAAATGGGAAAACTGAGGCCCTGTGAGTGGCTGAGGCCTGGCTTGCCCATACCTCACTGCCAGCTGGAGGTGCATGAATCCACCTTTGACCCTGAAAATGATGGGAGGTTAACTGCAGACTCCCACTGCTTCAGGCCTGTTTTTCCACAGAGAACTAAGTCCAACAGGCTACTCACTGAAACCTGAAGATCACAAATTCTTAACCCTAAAGATTTCCAAGAGAAGATCGCTAGTCTCATTTCAGTTCATCAGGCCATATATCTGATTTCTCAACCTCCTTCCTTTCAGGTGACTCATGCATTTTTTTAAAATATATGTATTCAATATTACCAAGAATGACAAGAATATTATGATCAACCATATAAATGAAGTTGATAAAAGATAGTTATTAGTAAGTAAAGAGTTTTCATCTCAGATTTTCCTTCAATGCAGGTATCAGCAAACTCCAGCCAAGGGGCTAATCCAGGATCACAGACTTTTGGTAAATAAAGTTTTACTGAAACACAGCCACACCCATTCATTTACATATTGTCTATGGCCGCTTTCAACATACAATGGCAGAGTCGGTAGTAGAATATATAGTCCACACAGCCTAAATATTTACTCTTTGGCTTATTACAGGAAATTTGCTGATCCGTACTTTAAGGGTTTCAGAAAACAATTAAAAGTAAGAATAACATTCACCTACATTTGATTAGCTTCACCACCTCCAGATGATTTGAATGAGTCACCAGAGTTCCATTCACCTGTGAGAACACAGAAGCAGTGTATGTCAGATACATTCTATTGAGACAATAGATAAAATGACTTCAGGAATGATCATACATAATATGACCAATTATAACATAGGAATCAGGGATAGATTAAAACAGGTATGTATTTGATTCAGTATTCACTTTCACACCATTATTCTACAGGACATATGTGGCAACAGATGAACTTAAACATAAACCAAGGCCTTGACATACAAAACATTACAACTTATTCACCATGACAAATGACAAAACATACCATGAAACAGATTTACAAATCCTTCACAGTGAAGGGCTCATACAAATAGAAAAGATCTCTTTGCTTTTAATTACCAAGTCATCAATTTGTCAAAATTTATAATAAATCAAAAGTAATTTTAAAAAATAAGTATTTCCACAATACTCAATTTACTTTTAGTTTTTCAACCATGATCCTACTCTTTACAAAGAAAATTAATTTTCAGACTAGCTAAATGTATCCTGATTCTGAATTAAACCAGACAAATCAAGGTAAAAATATCAAATGTGGATTTAACATTAATTTTCTGATTAATTCTCTGATCCAAGTTATCTAAAATTCAAATGCATCAGTGTAAAAAACAGAAGTACAAGTATACTCATCCTGCCCCATGAAATAGTTACTGTTAGCTATGACATTTAATTTTGGAGACACTTTTCTAGAATATATACATCAAACAGACATATAAACATTACACATTACAACTGGCTTTTTCCTGGGAAAAAAAAAAACTTTTTTTGACTGTATGGTGGCTATCTTTCAGTAAAGATACATATTGACCTAATCCATTCTTTTCAAAAGCTCCAAATGAAATACAATTTATTTCTCTATCTCTCAGTTTATGCATAGTTATGTGATAAAGCCAGTATGAATTTCCTTGTACACACCTAACTTGACATTTGTACATTTATTTCCTCAGATAAGTTCCTAAAAGCAAAATTGCTTGGCACAGGTTACATATTTTCTTAAAGACTTTTGATACATATTCAGACTTTCATCCAAACAGATTTTACCTAATTTACACTCACAGCAAACTCACGAGAACAGTCATTTTATCATACACAAACTATGCTAAATGGGTATTACCTATCTCTAAATTTTCTGACAACCAAATACATTTTTCACCTATCATTTCAATTCCTACTTCTTTGTTATCAGTGAGGTTGGCCATATCCCCATTAATATGTTATGTATTTCGATCACTTTGGGAAACTGACTGATAAAATTCTTTGCCCATTTTTCTTTTAGAATATTTAGTCCTTTCTTAGTAATTTAAAAGTATCCTTTAAAATTAAGGATATCTGGTCTGTGAGACATTTCAAATATTTCTTCCAAATTATTGTTCATGGCATCCTTTCCTATGTAATAATAATTTGATTTTAAATAATCAAATTAGTCAATTATTTCAAGAACAGTTACTAACCCATTCTTTCTCTACTTATCTGAATGCAAAGTCTATTTCTAGTCTCTCTATTGTATAACACTGGTAGGTCTATATCTACAGTAGAGTCATATACATCTCTTCTCATACATACACACATATATATAACATATTTTTTTCCTTAACTATTCTTACATACTTATAAAGTTCACCCGGAAGAATAATCATATTGACATCTACCACTCCAATTCTATTTGTATAAAGGTCAAGTATCACTTATCTAAAATACTTGGTACCAGAAGTGTTCTGGATTTTTTTGAATTTTGGAATATTTACATATACATAATGATACATAATTAGGATGAGACCCAGGTTTAAATATGAAATTCATTTATGTTTCATATATGCATTATCTACATAGCCTGAACATTGCTTTATACATTTTAAATACTTTTGTGCATGAAACAAAGTTTTTTGTTTTGGTTTGGTTTTATTTACTGTTTTTTTAAGACAGAATCTCACTATATTGCCCAGGCCAAAGTGCTATGGCTATTCTCAGGTATGATCAAAGTGCACTGCAGTCTCAACTCCTGCAGTCAAGCAATCCTCCCATCTCAGCCTCCTGAGTAGCTGGTAACACGGGCTCAAGCTACTGTACCTGGTGAAACCAGCTTTTTTCACGACTCACTATATGATGTCAGGTGTGAAATTTTCCATTTATGGTGTCACATGACTCATCACATGAGGTCAGGTGTGAAATCTTCTAGTTATGGCGTCGTGTTAGTACTCAGAAAGTTTCAGAGTTGGGAGCATTTCAGATTTCAGATTAGAAATGCTCAACTTGTACTTTGATGAGAATTTCTTAATAACAGACTAATCTGGAGAGGAAATGACCTTTACAACACTGATTTACTCTCCTACTCAAGAACGTATATTCCTCCACTATTTTCGATCCTTTTATTACGCCTTTCAGTAAAGGATAATTTTAAGACAAATGAAATACGTTTTTATAGTCAACAGATCTATCATACATAATATGATGCTTTTTATAAAACTCCAAGTGAAAAAATCAGAATAGAACCAATATTTGCTCTTTTTTAATCCTACCATAAATTCCATAATAGCCTTTTCCTTACCTTGATGATTCGATCACCTGTCTGTACTCCAGCCCGCATGGCTGCTCCATCTGTATGAGAAATTAATTACTTAACATGTGATTCATTTGCATTTATTGATCATCTTCCTGACAGAGGGACAGTATAACAAAGTGGTTAAAAACATGGGCTGTAAAGTCAGACAGACTTTAAGTTCAAATCCTGTTTCTACCACTCACTAGTTGTATGACCTTGGACTGATTTTATGTTTAAACCTCAGTGTCACCTATAAAATGGGGATTTGAAAAATTGTCTACCTTAAATTACAGCACCCAACATAAAAGAAGTATTTAATATATGGTAATAGCAGTAGAAAACATTATCATTGTTGTTTTGGGAAAATAATTGGTATTTTTGAGACCACAGCTATCTCTTTAATCTGTCTTTGCCAAAATATCATTTGGTGCCATGGACAACTGAAATTTCAGAAACTTCTGTGTGGACAATAAAGTATCAAGACCAAGGAATCACATGATTTCTAAAACGATGTAAACACTACTTTCTAAAAAGTACAAAAAGAAAAACAACAACAACTGGAGTAAATTCCTTCCTACAACTATGACACGATAGACGAATCCAGCACAATAGTCCACATGACCTGCAATTCATGTAATTATTCTATTCTTGGAAATTGCCGTTATTTAAGTTTTTTTATTCTTACTCTATTTACTGAGTGATACATTGTTTTTAAAAGTGCTTGCCTTCTTTGACAGACTGTACGAAGACTGGATTGTCTCCACTGACCGTCAGCCCAAATCCATTGTCATCTTTCTGGATGATCACGCAACGCTGAACAAGACCTGCACAAAAACCACAGGGTAAAAAAAAAAGAAGGAAGAGAAAACAGAGAAAGGAAAAGACAATAGTTACATATTAGTAATAAACTGTGTTCCATCTAGAGAAACACAAAGTAGGACATGTAAATCCACATGATAAAATAAGAGCACTAACCCCCATCAACAAAGCAAACACAAGAACATCACAGAGTCACACATAATTGTTTTCTCACTGGCTGAGTATAATAGAATTGCTCCAATATTTAAAAACAGCTATGGCAAACTGCAAAATACGAAGTATTAGAGATAAGACAGCTAGACGAAAAGCCGGTTCACATCCATGCTACTTCTCTATAGTATAAAATTCTCCCCTGCCAACCCCTGACCTCAGTGCCCTGTGTTTTTGGTTTAGGTTAAACACCTAATTGGTGTTTAACCCAAGAAAATCAACCATTCTAGGACATTTGGCTAGGAGCATCACAAGGAAAATTCTGGAGAAATATAATCTTACTCTCAAGAAAATAAACTCAGGAAAATGGTAAAAAGAAAGGAGGTATTTGGAAAGTATGTGAAGCTATTCCCCAAGAAGAGAAGAGAAGGGATGATTCAGGGGGAAGAAAAACCCTGGCTCACAGAAAACAAACAGAAAGGGGAAAAAAGTGGAAAACTGTTAGGGCAAGGTGAGAGAAAGAGGGCCCCAACCAAAGAAATAGGAATGTCCCCGCCAGAGTAGAACCGTGATTAGTACTCAGGGCTGTTTTATCACAGACCAGATCTGAGGATACTGAACTCTGTGTTAGCCAGAGACAATATATACTTTCAGCTTTGCAGGATCTAAGCTTTTCACCAAAACCAAAACAACACAAGGATAATAGATCTAAGCATTTCGCGGAAGTCAAAACAACACAAAGATGATGATTAGAAAATAAAAACATTTGTGCTTGCTTCAGCAGCAAATACCAAAATTGGAAAATAAAAATTTTCTAAAGGTTTTTATACAAAGAGCCACAATCTTTTAAATAAGTGTGATTTACAAATCAAACGATATGTTAACGATTAAATGTTAATAATATATATATATACTGTGTGTACAATGGCTCATAGAAAACATACACATATAACAAATTACATATATATGCACACACACAGTGTACGTACATATCTATTCTTGCTGATAATAACACATCATGAGTACATGAGCTTACTATAGTTTAACATGAACCTTGACCCTTGAACTCGTCATGCCCTACACAAAAATTAAGCAGATCATGGGCTTAAACATAAAGTTTTTCAGAAGATAACCCAGAAAAAAATCTTTAAGACCTTCAGGTATAAAAAAACAAAAAGGAAGAAAAAGAAAAAAGATAAAACATATGGAACAAAATATTTTATAACATAAAAAAAAGACCCTAAGGTGGGCACAGATTTCTATAAACCATAAAAAAAGCTAGTAAACTGGACAAAAAATGGAAACATTTGCTGTTCTAAAGACATTGATAAGAAAATGAAAAGGCAAGTCACAAACAGAAAAAATATTCACAATACAGCTATCCGATAAAGAATTTGTATCCAGATTATATACAACTTCACAATCAACAAT